GGAGCGCTCCCACGGCTTGCAGAGAGCTGCCTGTTTGGGGGCTGGGGTCGGGGGAAGCTCGAGCTTCCCCCGCCCCAGCCCCGCGCCTGGGGAAAAAAATAATTCCCCCCCCTTTATTTCCCCCCCAAAAAACTAGGTGCGCCTTATGGAACGGTGCGTCCTATAGGGCGAAAAATACGGTAATTGGGAAGAACATATCTAAGAACTCTTTTAGTTGCCTGTTGTTTTTAAATTACTATTATTTATAATATTTTATTAATGCGTCACAATAAAAAAACCAATATAATCTAAACCAAAACCAAACCAAACCAAAAAAAGCACACTAAGTCCTTTTTCACAAGTAAATCGTAACTTGATCCACACAGAGAAAGCTGAACCCTCCCCAGCTCTCACCCAGGAGCTTCCCTTTCTTCTCCCAACCTCCCATCCTGAAAGATCTTCCTTTCCCTGCCTCTCAAACAGGGTCCTTCATCAGCTATCCATCAGCGCTGATCTGCCCACTGCAACTCGAAGAAGAGGCAAACAGCTTCTGCAGGGAACACACTGGCGAAGCAGTACTCAGCAGGGCTTCCTTCTCCCCCTGCCCTCTTCCAGACTTCATGTATAATTAGCGTTTAGAACCCTAATTAGATGTTAGAGCTAGTCCATGATTTGATTCAAGGCCTGGACTGGGGTGGCATGCACAGGCATATCAATTGCACCTCTAGTATCTATGGTCTGACCTTGTTGATTACATATGCGTTCTACTTGTAGGATGAGTTCACAGTACTTTCTCACATGACTGATAGGCCTGGCCTCATCTGGATTTCACTCTGCTTCAACGGATTAATGATCTATGAAACATCAATATGTCCCCATCAATATGCCTTATTCCCATACAACCACCCTCAAAATTTGAATAACTCTGAATTTGACTGGGAACACACATCTATTAAAATCCCCCTTTGAATTGCTTATGGATGCAGCATATTTCATTTTTTGCACATTTGGAGTGGGGGGAATAAATGGAAAATGAAAAAGAAAAAGTTCTACAAAATGCCTCTGTTTTCATTGTCTGATGTGCAGCTTTTATATTTCCAGTCTCCAGTGAATAGAAGCTCAAATATGTATTTTTCAACAAGTGATGTTTTCAATTGGTGTATATGAAAATCTCTGAATAGTCTTAAAACATGGTGTTTGAAATAGGGATCACTGTCTTCTGAAAAACGATATATATATATATTTATTACATTTTCAGGCTTTACATTTTAAACTGCAACCCTTCTTAGTGTTCTACAATGTTGTCACATCAGAAAATATTCTTGTAAAAAATATTGTGAATAGTTGTAATTTTGGGGAAAAGTTTTTTTTTTTTTTTAAAGAATTGTTTCACATCTGAATGTTATTCCACGAGGGATGTATTTCATCAATAAATTAACAGTGGCTTATATATTAATCCCTTCTCAAACTGCAGGAAGATGTGAAGTCTCACAGCAAATGCTGTAATCTCATAAGCTATCTTTTATGCAATTGTTTTTCATGCTTGACGTTCATTGTACCTTGAATTTAGAGAGAATTTGATTGCATGGGGGGGGGGAATTCAATGCAATTCTTCCTTTGTGAACCCCCATCACTGATGTCAATAGGAGATAAAACGAGTGTGCTGGTCTAATAGCAATGAGTATCATCTTTCTTTAAAATGAATGAGAGTGCTTAACCTGGTCAGGTAAAAAGAGGTATAAAAATAATATGATTAGTTCTGAAATGCATCAATTTAATCATATAGCAGCAATTACTACAATGACTCTTCAATCCATCATTTGATTCTAATTGATGGTTGTTATGACATTTGAAGTTTTATTTCTGATGTTCTCTTGTAAGTAAGCAAAATGCATAAGTCTGAAGCAGGAATTAGATGTATTGTGATGGAGAAGTATTCTCATTGAGAAAATACACTGTTTAATACATTAGATACATACATAACTGGGAGTAAGTTCCAAGTCAGCAGGATTTGCTTTTGAGTAAACATAAGAGGATTGCACTGAAAGCTTACTTTTAAAAAGAGCAAGGACAGAGATACCTTTTAAATAACTTGTTGCAGAAGTGGAAATGCGAGTGAAAACTGTTCTTATTTGCAGAGTATATTTTAACTCTGAAACTTACTTACTTAATTTGTATACATCCCTATACTCTCAGGTCTCAGGGTGGTTACAACATGAAATCACAGTATAAAATCACAAAATTTATAATAAAACCAAAAAGGGGCCCGTGTTGCCACCTTCCAGACCTCTCATGGAAGAGGCCCACAAAGAACGACCTCAGAAGATGATCTCAGGATCAGGTTAGGTTCATATAGAAAGAGGCAGCCTTAGAGGTATTGCAGTCCTGAGTTGTTTAAGGCTTTATAGGTCAAAACCAACACTTTGAATTGGGCCTGGAAACTAACTAGTAGCCAGTGCAGTTGGACCAGGATTGGTGTAATATGCTCAAACCCTGGTGAGCATCCTAGCCGCTGAATTCTGCACTAACTGAAGTTTCCAAACCGTTTTCAGAGGCAACCCTATGTAGAATGCATGTATCTAACCTTGATGTTACCAGAGCATAGACTGTAGCCTATCCCTGTCCAGATACGGGCACAGCTGGGCCACCAACCAAAGCTGATAGAAGGCACTCAGTGCCACTGAGGCCACCCAAGTCTCAAGTGACAGCAAAGGATCCAGTTCTCCCAAACTACATACCAGTGCCTTTAGAGGAAGTGTAACTCCATCAAGAGCAGGCAACCTCCCAGCCATCCAGTCTAAGGAACCACCAACTAGCAGTGCCTCAGTCTCATCTGGATTGAGTTTATTTGTTGGCTCTCATCCAGTCCATTATCGAGGCAAGACACTGGTCCAGTACTTCCACTGCCTCACCTGCAGATGTAAAGGAGAAGTAGAGCTGAGTCTCACCAGCATATTGCTGACAACGTACACCAAACCTCCAGATTACCCCAGTGTTTTCACTGGGGCAGCTAAAAAAGCCAATGCAAGTCTGGGCTGCATCAATAGGAGTATAGCATCTAGATCAAGGGAAGTAATAGTGCCACTGTATTCTGCTCTGGTCAGACCTCACCTGGAGTACTGTGTCCAGTTCTGGGCACCACAGTTCAAGAAGGATACTGACAAACTGGAACGTGTCCAGAGGAGGGCAACCAAAATGGTCAAAGGTCTGGAAACGATGCCTTATGAGGAACGGCTAAGGGAGCTGGGCATGTTTAGCCTGAAGAAGAGGAGGTTAAGGGGTGATATGATAGCCATGTTCAAATATATAAAAGGATGTCATATGGAGGAGGGAGAAAGGTTGTTTTCTGCTGCTCCAGAGAAGCGGACACGGAGCAATGGATCCAAACTACAAGAAAGAAGATTCCACCTAAACATTAGGAAGAACTTCCTGACAGTAAGAGCTGTTCGACAGTGGAATTTGCTGCCAAGGAGTGTGGTGGAGTCTCCTTCTTTGGAGGTCTTTAAGCAGAGGTTTGACAACCATATGTCAGGAGTGCTCTGATGGTGTTTCCTGCTTGGCAGGGGGTTGGACTCGATGGCCCTTGTGGTCTATTCCAACTCTATGATTCTATGATAGGGGATGGGCTTGAACCCTGCAGAACCGCACATTGAAGGTTCTACAGGGCTGAAAAACACTCCCCAAGCAAACCCTCTGGGAACGACCATCCAAGTAGGATCGGAACCACTGCAAAGCAGTGCCACTCCCCCCCAACTCTAGACAGCTGCTCCAGAAGGATACCATTGTCAATCGAAAGCTGCTGAGAGGTCAAGGAGAATTAACAGGGACACATTTCCCCTGTCTCTCTCCTGACAGCAGTCATGATACAGGACGACCAAAGCAGTTTCTGTGCCAAAACCGGGCCTAAACCCTGATTGAAATGGATCTAGAAATGTTAGTAATATTTTGTCATTTTCAGTTTGCCTCTAAGGCTCTCTCTCTCTCTCTCTCTTAATTAGTTTTTGCAAATACATTTTCCAAATACCACACAACATTATATCTTATACAATATTTTTAGGACCTCCATCAGCTACGCCTAATGATTTTCATTCTTCATCACTTCGTCTTGCATTTCATTATTTACACTATTACTTTTAAAAATCCATAACTAATAGTCCTTTTCATAAATTTTACCTGCAATATTTCATCTAGTCCTCCTTACAAAACTTCTTGCAGTCCTACTAGTGTATTCAATTGATTACAGTTGATTTTCAAATAGTTCGTATATTTACTCCAATCTTCTAAGAACCTCTGATCCCGCCAGTTTCGAATTCTTCCTGTCATTTTATCTAATTCTGCATAGTCCATTAATTTCATCGTCGGTAATTCTTCTTGCTTCCATTTCTGTGCCAATAGCTTTCTCACTCTTTCTTGCTTATACTGCCATGAAAAATAGTTGAGATCCTTGAAAAATGTGCACCATGTATCTCCTGCAAACAATTCAAACATGCATTATTCGGTGAAGGCAATCTCAATGATGTCTTAGCCAGCACAGACCAAATCCCACAAAGTTTTCATATCATCTAACTTCAGTAGAGGCAGTTTGCTCCTTCAGCAGTAAATTACTGGGTAAAAGACTCTGAATTACAATATTTATTTGAAATAGCCCTTTGTCTCTTCTGTAGAGGCTTCATGTAAGAGCAAAAAGTGAATGACTACAGTCTTACAGTAGTCCATGTAGTTGTGGCATATAAATTGATCCCAAATTACAGCATAAATTCAACTGTAATAACTTCAAGGCTAATTAGAATACTGACATTCTAACACATATGTTAACATGAGGGGACTATTTTCTATTGTTTATGCAGACTTGTTACTGTGATAGTTCCATTGGTTATAAATTTGCTGGAGTTCCTCCATAAGAAAAAAAATCCATGTACTACTAACAATGAAAATTGGGTGGATTTCTTTAATGGTTTCATTTTTGGATTGCCCTCTTTGCATATGAACTTCTTAAAAATATCTAAAAAATTTCTTCCCAGTGTACCTGCAGGAAAGACATGGTGACAATATCAATGGATATCTTTGTAAGGAAGTTTCAGCCAGACAGATACCATCTGTGGAAACAAGGGAGAGATTTATACACCATTGATCATACAAAGCCCACCCCTGAAATGACACCCGAGGTAAAGGCCTGGTTGCAGAGAAGAAGGAAAACAAAGAGATCTTCCAGGTGGTAATGAATGTTTTGCACTCCATATAGTTGAAGTTTAAATATGATATAATTTCTGTTCTTTTTCAGTGCTTCTCTCCCCCTCTCTTCCACTTCTCTCTGCCATTTCCTTTTAAGTTGTTCATTTATTTTAGTCACAGTTAATTTGTGTCTCCTTAAAACCTAGCAGTGAGCTTGAGGGCAAAAGAGTCATATTTCACAATGATAATACTCATTGAAGAAATATATTCATTTTTAAAAGTTTAATGAGAATGCATTACTGAAATTTATATATGTGGAGCTCTGAGCATTAATATAGTATTTGTTCTGTATGAAAATATTCATATATTTTTTTTGCTGAATCCCAGTCCAGAAAAGCATTATTGAGGAGAACTGAGTGAAACACAATCGTTTAGATATTGCAATGAAAATTTCCAAACAAAATCTTTACTTATTTATGTATCCTCGAGTTTGCTGTAGCCTCTGGTAAGAGTCCTATCCAGAGGCAGATACATAGTTGGCAGAATGATCAAAAGGTATTGCCAATACCTGGTTATTTATGCTACAGCTCAATAGTTTGAATTTTCTTATTGGCAGTTCCCCCCCCCCAAAATATTCTTCTTGTAATTTTGCATTGCGCCCCGTGATGTATTCTTCTGTCGAATCAGAGTCTCCTAACCTAATAATATAAAAATGCTTTGTAAATACTGATAGCAACATAGAATGATAGGTCTCTCTTAGAATTTTTTTTCATTTTGCATTAGTTCTATTTCTCTCTCTCTCTCTCACTCACACACACACACACACACACTTAATGATCTTGATACAAAGTAATCTGGACATTATCAGTTACCCTTCCTGACCTTTGTCATTCTGATTCTGAACCACCATCACCCCCAAAAAACCAGCCACCGTAAGAATGTTATGTTTTTAACAAATGTGCACTGTTTAATCATCAACCCACATATAGCTTTACATTTACATGTTGAGAACCTGTGGGCTTTAATGTGTGTGTCATATAATTGTACAATGATGCTCTTGTATTGCTGCAGAGAACTGGCAACTTTATTATACAACTGCCATTTGCACTTGGCAGAGAAATTATTTCCTTGTCAGTACAACCCTTATTTATCTGGATAGCCAATTTAAAAGTTAAAATTAAAAGTGGAGACATTATAGTAATTATGTTGAAAGTTTTATCAGATGAGTGCATGTGCTGAATTTATTCACTGTGCTAAGCTTGTGGATGCATTTCTGTGCTATTTAATTAGTAGACTTGGCACAAGTGCAAACACAGCAGGAGATGCACGTCCCCCAAATGAAGATAAAATGTTTGTTCAGTTTCACCTCTGCTGTAATATGTCAAGGAAAAAAAATATGATAATTCTGATTCTGGGAATAATATGCCTTCCAAATAGGGTCCCATAAGTATAGGAAGAACAGCAACTCGAGGAAAATAGTGACGTGATAATGTTTGTGTTCTGGGCAACAGGTTGTGCCAGGGCTGCCGTGGTATGAGAAACTTGTACCGACACAGAAATCACAGCAGGAAATCACAATTTTAAAAATATATTTGTATGTGCTACTACCAGATAGATGGTTGGCACAGCCAGATCACAAAGCAGCTGGTACTGAGAACAGAGGTACTTGACATTTCATGTGTGCACAAGTCCTAGCATCTCACTGACACAGCAATCGCCTGCACACTCAGCAGTCCCGCAAGGTGTGAGAGAAGCTTACGCTGCTCCATTCTTAACAGCTTGGTGGGTGGGCATGCCAACCCGTTGTTCCTGTGCAGTTTGGAACTCCTTGTCTGTGAGCTTGACCTGCTACTCTCACTTTTCCTGTCACATAGGTTGAGCATAAAAGGTGCTGGGCTCATTGCCTGTTGCTGAGCTTGTATCTCCACTGTGCCTTACTTTCAAGGAAGAACCTTGTTGTCATGGTCTGAGCAGGGCACATGATGTTTACATTTTGATATTTAGGTATTAAATACAGGGCGATTCATAATAATGAAGTATACAGTTTCCATTGGTATACTTTGTTATGAATCACCCTGTATTATTTCCAGAAACATTGCTACCCATGGTAACTGGAACTTCTTGAATTTTTCCGAATTCAGATTCTGGTAGCTATTGCTAAAGCTGCATTTGCAACTGGTTTAAATTGATGATTTTTTTTTATTTTTGTAAATGAGACTACAGAAGAATAATCAATCAAAATGTCTTATACATTTTGGGATTTGAGCATCATTGTCGAAGTTTAATGTATCTGGGAGATTGCTGTAATTAACTTAAGTTAGTCTTTGTCATGTTCTACAGAATGCTTCACCAAGTAACTGGTTTTAGAACTAGCTTCAGCATTACCTGAGATTATTTCATTTAATAAGTAACTTTAAAGAGCTATAACAACATTAACAACTGATTTAAATTAACCTGTTAATCTATTGCTTATCTACCCTTACACACAGATATAAAAAATTGTCAGGGTGGGGTTTTGCTTAGTCCTTTTTGTATTCCTAAAAGCAGGTGAAAGGGATATTTATATTGGTAAATGCTTTATCTTATCCTAGCCAGACGTTCTGTTTTGACAGCAATATCTCTTAAAACAGTTCCCAGCACAACCGATCACGATCAAAAAAGCTGAAAACTCCAGAGGACAAGAAGGTATCAACCATAGTGGCTGGTACAGAAATCACCGTCGTTGGAGCAGCTCCAGAGAGCTTCAAGGTCAAAGAAGAGCCACCAGAAAAACTAAAGGCAATAAACACAGGGGTGCCTTCTGGGGAAGAACAAGATGCAAGCAGGATGCAGATGGATCACAATTTATTGGATAACAAAAAGGTCTCAGGTGAGACAAATGGTGTTTATTTCCCATAGAATTCTAGGCACTTGATATTGTGATCCCATAAATCTGCAGGTGAGAAGCCGTACGTTGCTATGCTCTGTGTTGCAAAATGACAAATCTTAGTCTGCACAGTGCTGCTTTCACAGCCATGGACATTTAGAGCATCTTGTATTGCAAAGCAGATTGGGGCAGGACTAGCTGTCTCCTAATATTTCTCCATAGCATAGCTGCAGCATTATTCCAGGACAGGTGTAATGGTGAAGGCACAACTGTTGGCAAGCTCCTTTCCTAAGCATGTATCTATTTACTTTGGGATTTAGATTTTTATCTTATGTTTTCCTAAAGGCTCAGGGTGTGTAACAGTGTACCAAACAAATAATGAAGTACTGAAATATAAAGCACCTTTAGAAATAAGTCAACCTCTAAAGAGCCATAAAAAAAAAGCTACAGATATCACACTAGTCATTCTTTCACAGCTACAGCCCCTCAACACCACCTTACCCCATACAAGCTTTACACCTGTACTGAAGCATGTAGCCCTCATAGTGACTTCTACAAGTAGCAGGCTCCTCCTCACTTATAATAGGATATTACTACTATTCCAGCAATGTTCCACTCTTGCTCTTTCCATAACAGTGATTTAGGGCTGGATTGTTGCACCAAACTAAAACAGAGTCTAGTGGCATCCTAAATAAGATAGCTGTTATTTTTGCTGCAGAAGAATAAGATGGCTATGCATCTGGATTTTTAGCCAAGAATAATTATCTGATTTTTAATCTAAAGGGCAATATCATAATTTCCCCCCCATTTAATGAGACAAGTTCCAGCTAATGTTAACATTTCTGTACAAAAATAGTTGACATGTACCGAGATAAACATAGCTGTGCAGAGATAGCGCTCTTAACAAAACAAATAATAGAAATGATCTACTGTACAACATCCAGGCTGAAACTGATTGACTTGGTAGTTTGAGGATTTGAGTAGCCAATGACTACTGGCGCAAACACATGATTTCCACGTGTAATATAGACATTTTTTGAAGTTATCAACGTTGATCTTACCAGCACAGATTTTTTATTCTAATCTCCATCTCATTCATTAATCTTGATGAAAAGTGAGCCACATTTCCCCTGCTTCTGCAAAAAATATGAGCAATTAACATGTTTAATTGTCTGCCAAGATTATTTTTTACATTGTGATCAAAATGCTGTTGTTGTTAAAACAAACAAACTGTATTGCCTTCATGCTGAAATTTTGTCCCTAGGTCATAACTCTCCTCATAGCCATGGTCCTCTAATCAAAAACACACACTCTGAAGTGGAAGAGAAAGGAGACTCTGGCTCTGTGTATTTTTGTTCTGAGGAATCGGCACTGGGCTTACTTTCATCTGCTAGCTGTAACCGGGAAGACAATTTGAAAATTTCAACTACTTCAAGCCAGGCTCTTGAGTATGCTTCTTCCGAAGCTGAGAGCCTGGAGAAAGAAGAAACTAGCAGCTTGTCTACAGAAGAGGATGATATCAGCGATACTGAAAGCAGTGAAAATGGTTTGGAGCCTGGAGAAATATCACCACTGGTAAGAAAGGGTGTTATGGTTAAAACAATTTGAGCATATTTGATAAATTCAGAATTGCTTGAAATGAGTCCTGGATTTCTCAAGTGTTTGGCACGGTATTAGAGTTCTGAGATCATTTCACTATTATCTATAAATATTTTATCCTCCGGCTTAACAGTTGTATGTGTAATGTGCTTTATACTTTCATCTCGTTCCAGCTTTTCAACAAGCCTCTGTCTTGGATTATTTGTGGTTTTGGATACGACTGAGAGGAAAGCCTCATATTTTGCAAGCTAATACAAGAAAAAACACTATTGACTATTTAATAAAATCTTCCCAGTGTTATGGTGTAGATCAGGGTTTCCCAAACTTGGGTTTTTAGCTGTTGTTGGACTACAACTCGCATCATCCCTAGCTAGCACGACCGGTGGTCAGAGTTGATGGGAACTGTAATCCACAATAGTTAGAGACCCAAGTTTGGAAAACCCTGGTGTAGATAATAATACCTCCCCATACATTGTTGTGAGATCCCAAATTATCTACAGCAAGTTATAGAAATGAAATTAGCTAATAATAATAATACTTAACATTTGACAGTTCATTTATTATAAATTATCTCAATGATCTTTGCCACAGCCCTGAAAGGTGGATCAGTTTTATAATCCCTGTACTGCAGTTATGTGGTATGCGTTAGGCTGAACGTGTAGTAGAATGCCCAAAAATCCACCTAGTGGTTGAGGTGAAATTTTGAACTGGTGCAACCCACTGCACTAAACAAAGTTGTTGTTCTTATCTTACCACATTTTATAAGACATCCCATTTTGACTGGTAGCAAATGTCCATGTGAATGAGACTCCAATGAGATAATAGCAGAGCTGTATTAACTAACTTGGAGGCTAGATCTGCTTCTGGCACCTGCAGAGAGCAGCCCTTTATGAATTGCCAGATGTTCCTAAGAGAGTGGAAAAGACACTTTAGAGCTAAGAATAAAACAGCACTTGCCCTTTTACCGACATAAATAGCAAATTCATCATTATTTTACAGAATGAGATTTAGCAGTCCCAAAGCCAGTCCTTCTGTTTTAATATAAAGTGCTAATAAACATCTTCTCAGTGGTGAGATTCTGCATTACAGCTCATGTTTAATTCATTTGGTTGGGTACTTTTTAGCTATTCCTTAGTGGGGTTTCAAGTATTTTCCAATATGTTTGCATGCTGTGTCCATCTTGTAGTGGCACACAAACATTTTATTGGGTTGTTGCTGAAAAAGCTGTCTCTTAGCCTTTCTGCACAGCTACCTTGCTTTGTTTAATGAATCTGCCACGTTCTTTAATCATAAGAGCAGCTGTACTGCATTAGGCTAATGATCCTTCCAGGTCAGTGTCCTGTTTCCTTGAGTGGCCAGACCAGGCTGCCGAGGGCTCTGTATGACAGCTGCAGGGTACTAATTGAGCCTTCCATTTCCCACCAAGCACTGCCAGCCTCTTGAATTTCCAAGTTTTATGAGTAACCTTGTAGCTGGAATAGAATACTTGAATTGCTACCTAATATTCATTGGTGTTCAACCAGCTTCTGTAGCATCCTTTCCCAACCTGGTTCTTTCCAGATGTTTTGGACTGTACCTACCATCATCCCTCATCAGTGGCCGTGCTATCTGGGGCTGATGGGAAATGAACAACTGGATGGCACCACCTTGAAGATAGCTTCTTTATATAGCGAACAGAGTTTGGATAGGCTTGCAAGATCTTAGTAAACTGAATGTTGGTGAAGACATTTGCGACAACCATTAAAGTCTCAGCACTTATTTAACCAAAGAACTGTAGCTTTGACCCTCAATAATGAGACTGTCATCTTGAAGATACAACTTCAGAGAAAAGCCCCCAAGTTGTGTTCAGCCAGGCTCTACTCAGAGGAGAGCCATTAAAATCAACAGACTCATTAATTTTAAAGGGTCTACTCTGACTAAAATTGGATACAACCTATTGCTTCTCTAACTTTTAATCTTGACAGAGTAGGCTGCTACTTCCTGGACGTAGTAGAGTGGAATTGCCTTGATCTCAGGCTGCTACTCCAACCCATTATGCGAGGGCAGTTGCAGAGGCCGGCATCTTCACACAGATCTGCGGAAGCGTCTCTTGAAACTTAAAGCCAGAGTTTAGGAAACACTACGAGAAATGATGTTTTGTAGGTACAGGCATTTCAGTTACCAATGAAGCTGAAGTCCCAGCTTCTTGAAAATGTCTAATTTCCAAGCTTTGGGGGGAAAGTATACCCTCAAAGGAGAGGCTGTGAAGCTATCCCATGGGATTTGAATTATTTTTATCAAAGACTGCAAAAGGGACATTTATTTTCCACTCCTTTTGTGATGGGAAAAAATATATCTCAAAGGGAAAAACCCCATTAAATTTGAAATCCTGATTTTTCTATTGAGAAAACAAAATGTGGACATGCACTTTCAACACTAATAGGCAAAAGGGGACTTTTAGTTTAAAAACAATAATGCTGCTACCATTTCTACTTTTTTCCAACTACCTAGTTGCATTGAACTGCAAGCATTTATTTTTTGCCTGTTATCTTACTACTGCCCCCTTAAAACACCATCTAAAATCTACCCAAAATGCTTTAATACCAGCAAAAGCACATTTAAAGGACATGCGTTCCCCCAAAGAATCCTGGGGCATGGGTTCCCCCCAAAAACCCATGTCCTTTAAATTTGCTTTAAATGTATAGTGTGAATGTGACCTTTAGTTAATATATGTTTTCTTTCTTCCATCCCTTTAGGATAATTTTGGTTTGCCTTAAATGAAAAAAAAAATGTATGTTGTCTCTTTCAGGTAACTGAAGGAGAGAGAACAAAAACATCTAAAAGTTGGCGTCATCCGCTAAGTAAACCCCCCGCCAGATCTCCTATGACGCTGGTTAAACAGCAGGCAGTAAGCGATGAAGGTGAGCATGCTTTTTAAAATCCCCTCTAATAATATATCTTTCAGCCAATATAAATGCATCTGCATACACTTACTGTTGCACAGTACTGAAGACGAAAGGATATTTGACCGTGTGCCAGAAACTCAACTGCTGCAGAATGAGCTGCATTAAAAGCTTTCAGCATGCTTCCTGAATACATGATGTCGGTTTTTTGTACTTTCCCACCCTTCCTTTCTCTTAAATCCTTCTAAACGCATTAGAAGGGACTTGTAAGAAGCTCAGAACAGTATGAAGTCGCTTAAATACTACATGGATGATAAAAGCTCATTCGGCTACCAGATAGTCTTTGTTGGATTTCTCAGCAATTAGCTTTGGCACAGAACATTACACTTTATTGTATGAAGGCAAGCAGAGCTAAACAGGACACTTCTAGATCTTCGGAACCAACAGAGAACAAATTTGCTGTTTTGTTCTCTTTTATAAATATCTAGCTGGATCTCGAAAATAATCTGATTCTCTAGTAGATTTTGTTTATCGCCCAGGCTCATGAAAGAGACACTGTGTTGGATGCAAGGAAACAGGAGAAGTAGGAAAGTAGCTGCCAGTGCTCTTTCACAAAGATTTGCAAAAGAGGTTGTGCAAGTGTTCTCTATAGTAGATAGATTCTGTACTTGTGTCTCATGGTTCTGATTGTGCCAGAGGTTATGTAAGCTCATTTACGAGTGGTATAACATACTTGCGTTTTGTTTCACTTTGGTTGTTCCACACTGGCACATGAGGTTTTGCATCTATCCCACTGTTTTTCTTCTGAACAATGTCAGAAGGGTTACTAGCATCCTTTAATCTTTGAATTCTGTGTTGCAAGTTCAGTAATGTAACAGAAGAGAGAAGTATTGCTCCCCCCTACCCAGAGTTGTTGAGAAAAGCCTCAATGTTTTGTGCATTAGAAATGCTGACAGGTCTATATAAACGTACATATGGAGAAGTCTGATCTCATAACCAGTGAGGTCAGATTGAAACGAAATGCAAAAACTACAATCTATGACAATTACATTAAAGCTTAAATGGATGAAAATAAGCATGGTGTTTTCATATTGTCAAAAACATGTCTACTGCAAATTTATTTGGTTACCGCAAATTTTGCCATTCCATTGTATAACATAATCATATGTATTATATCAATTCAATTGGAATACATTATTAAAGTATGGTAGTGCTTCCTGAATGTATTTTCAGGATGGAAATGTAAACATGTTTGTAAAATCTATATAGCAGCTTTCTAGATCATTAGGCCAGTGTGGTCATGCATTTCTGTTACATAGCACAACAAATGATAGCTTTACCAATAAAAGCTCCCCTTGCCTTTTTTTTTTCTCTAAAAGAAAAACCATTTACTCTTTTTCAATTCTAGAATAGTTCTGTTGATGGTCTCTGCCAATAATAGTTTCTTCCATAAGCCCTGGTTATTGTTTGTGGTTTGTTCCAAAAGAGCTAAACCATGAGTTCCTGTTCAGATAATATGCTAAGCCAAACCATGGCTTACCTCAGCCCAGCCCAGCAGCAGATCTCCTTTCTGGGAGCCCACACACTTATTTGTTCGTGCTAAGCCATAGTTTGGTTTGTGTTCAGTTCCAGCATGAACTAAAAAGTTAATCAGCATTATTTTTTTACAGCATTAAGAATCTGACAAGCTGCTGTGCTGAAGTATCGGGTCTAAAAGTAAATCAAGGGCCACACTCAAAAAATGAGATATATTGACAGACAGAATAGAATGTCAGTTGGTGAAGCTTTCCCCCATACTTCTACTTCCCTACTTGAAAAGGCTTACCCTGTTTAATTTGTGCCAGCCATAAAGCTGTTAAAGGCACAAGACATCATTCACTTTGTTCTTGTACCTGTTCTTCTTGCTGCAAGCTGCTGCTGTTGGAATAGAGCAGATCTCTTCACCAGGGAATATGCAAGAAATAACTTACATTTCTTCCTCCTAGTTTTTAGCAACAGTGATTAAGTGACAAACATCCGTAGCAACAGCAGTGCCTCTGTATCTGCCTAATAAGCCTTAGAATGTTGCTTCCACATTTTGCTTTCTATTTCATATAGATGTCTGATTGAAGTAGTTTAACAAAAAGGAGGACTCTGGTCTTACTGCTGGGGAGTGGAGGGGGAATAAAACCTGAAGGTAAACTAGAAATCAAACAGATTTATACCCCAAAAGAACTTAATTCTTGTTAGTTAAATCAGCATTTATGGAAACTACTTTCGGGTGTAGTTCTGATATTTTTGTTCAGCTGAACTAGTTCATCCCAAGTGCTGATTGTGCTGATACCAATCCCCACCCCCCCAAAAAAAGTTTTAGTAAGTCTTTTTCATATTATAGGATTCTGTGAATGTTAAGTAGAAAAGTTGTGGAAGGTCCTCATAGGGTCATGGGTTCCTTTGTCTGACTCGAGTCCGCATATCAGTAGCATGATGCTTTGTTTTCTATTCTTGTAGGGTTGCCATATTTCTAAAAGAAAATGCTTCTCTAAAATCCAGTACCTTAATTTTGCTGTTTTCTTCTTTCCACTTCATGACATCTCAGAATCTGTAACTTCATTATCACCTTATCTCATCTTCCATTTTTGCATTCTATACCAGTTTTAGGCTGCAATCCTGTACTTGCCTGGGAATAAGCACCTTTGAACATAATGGGGCTGACTTCCGAGTAGATGTGCATAGAACTGCACTATAGTCAAAACCAAATCTAAAATAGTTTAGCCCAGGCATGGACAAACTCGGCCCTCCAGATGTTTTGGGACTACAATTCCCACCATCCCTGACTACTGGTCCTGTTAGCTAGGGATCATGGGAGTTGTAGTCCCAAAACATCTGGAGGGCCGAACTTGCCTATGACTGGCTTAGCCCTTTTTTCCAGTCCACAGAAAACTTTGACTTTTTGGCAGTCTGTATTATACCTTGCTTTGCCGTGCTTCTAGCCTAGTCAGCTGAAATCTTGCATGTTTCAACTCCAAAGGCTGCTTACCCAATTCTTTTTAGAAGACATAGATGAGCAAACATCTGCCCAGACTCACAATGTGTGGTATTCAAAATTTTAATCCGAGTAGACCTATTGAAATGAATGGACTTAACATAGTCATATTCATATAATTCAGTGGATCTGCTCTGAATAAAACTTAGTTGAATTCCACCCTTTAAATCCTCTTAGTGTTTCTTGGAAGCAGATACACATAAAACCCTCCAATGTATTTGATTAAGTGTATATTCAAAAATGTATTTGAGCAGTTCAGAGTTTAGGAAGAGACCATTTCTTGCTGGAGAGCTGTTGAAACATATCTGAGTTTCTCCACAGAGAATATATCTCAGTAAAATGGCAACAAGCTTTTAAATTATCTCTCCTGCAGAGTATATCTAAATTTACTCTTGTATTTTATTGCAGTATTGGTAATTGGCTTTTTCAGCCATCCCCTTTTAAACAAAAGTTCTACATATCCCCCTTTTTAAAGCTTTGGTTCTATTGAAGCTCCTTTATCCGAAGCAGTAATTTGCCTCTGCTTGGCTCTGCTCAGCTAACCATGCAAACTACCCCATGTTAATACTGGAAGTTGACATATAATTGCACTAGCCTACTGCAATGGTTAAGAGCCCCAAATCCCATAGGATAATGTGTAATGGCTCCCTGTCACAGCTGCATTTTGGAGCAGTAAATTCCAAACAGCACCCAGTTGAGCTTCTGAGCAAAGCTATGTTACATTTATGGTGTTAGCTATTTAAAAACCAACAAAAAACCAACCTGCTGAAGGTTTGGTCACTTATTGCACAAAACTTGTATTTCCCAGTCAAGGAAGTTCCTTATTTCTCCCCTCTTTTCAGCTATGTGAATAATTGAATAGATCTATAGTTGGGTTTGTGGTTCTTTCTCTTTTTGCAGGAGGGGGGAGGTTGGCCCACAAATTCACCAGCTACAGTACTTCAATTAGCTGTTAAGCATCTCGCCTTAAATTAGAGACAGCTTTGAGCCATGATCTATATCTATGTAATATTTGCATGTCTTGAGGGGACAAGATTGAGTGGATTTCAGAATGTTCCAGTAATTTACACAAAAAAGGCTACATTAACATTAGAATCCATCTGGTAAAGTAATTAAAAGATTTAAATATGGAAGGGTTAAGTGAAATTGCTGCATTTTTAATTAGAGATTATACAGTTTTGTGACTAGGGATGGCTGTTAACCTTGGTTATAGCTAAAATAAAATGTTTGAAAATTATGATTACCCAGCTCATTGTGAGTCATTCTTGTTAGAATATTGCCAGGTGAGAGGTACTGGAGTGATAGGAATTTTTAGAATGCATCCCTTCATAGTAATGCAATTATTCGTAAACTTTTTGAACTACAGTACTAGATAGATTTATTTTCTCCCTGCAGGTAGAACATGTTGCACTAGTTCGGCTTTAGGTAATAAATTCCCTGTCAGGGCCGTCTTTCCCATTGGTGTTAGTGGTTCGTTGTGCCAGGGCGCCGGCCTTTCAGGGGTGCCCTAGTGAGTGGGGGAGCTGTGCGGCTTTGCTGCAGCGCCCCCTTTCCCTGCACGCCCGCCAGCTGCACCCCACCAACTATATGGCTGGCGGGCATGCCGTTATCCTTCCCAAGCCTTCGCAGGAGGAGAGCAATCCCCCCAGAGGCTACGCAGCTTCCCTCCCAAGCCTCTGCATCTGCTAAAGACAGCCCTGCTCCCAGTCCTTGTCCTCCTCCTGGTGAAAGGTGGCACACAGCCTTCCCGGGCTGCTTTCTCAGGCGCCCCGACGCCGGAGAGCATGTCTGCTAGCACGTTTTCCTGCTTGATCGCCGCCACCATGCCAAGGATCGGGGCGGTGGGGGAGGCAGAGTACTTGGTGCCGCTCTGGACCCACTGTTTCAAAAAAGTCACTTTTTAATTTTCCTCTTTTCACAAAGCAGCAGTGAAGTTAGATGTGCTGGCCCTCAGGGAGGAGTTGGGCAGGGAAAGGAGACTGTTGCCAAGCTTAGTGAGGAAGCGCTCCTTCTAGAAGAAGCACACTCTCTTCAGCTCCAGTGGCGACGGCGGCTGTGCTTCTCAAACTCCCATTGTCGGTAGCTGCCTGCATGGAGCGCACCAGCCACCAAACCATCAGCAGGCTAGGCCAAGTGGCACGTAGGACACCAGACTGGGTAGGACTTGCCCACAAGCCAAACAAAGTGGAGAGGGGCCTTAATACAGGCCTCCCTAAGCCTTAGCCTGCCACAGGCTTAGCAAGAGTGTGGAAGATTTTGGTGATGCCTTGCAAAACTTCGGGTGTCTTCTTCGCTGCATGCAGTAAGTGGCAGCTGAGGGTGGTGGCAGCAAGGGTTCCTGCCTCAGGCGGCAAAATGGCTTGGGCTGTGTATCCCTCGCTCAAAATTATACCAAATTTCATAGTGACAGGAGAAATAATTATGCATTCTTTTATAGAGAATCCAACATACCTTAGTATTAGAACCTGTGCTGTAGCCTGATAAAAGCGAAACCCTTTGCCACACTCTTGGCATCAAACTCTCCGACTAGCCACACACTCCACAGTGAATGCTTGGGAGTGGGACTAGTCAGTGTGCAAGATTAGAGGCCCTGCTAAGTACTGGTATAACCTCTGTATAGGGCTCATACTTATTTCAGTGCTATTCTTATCTACAATTGGATGTTTTGTTTATAGAAATCCTTTGTGAGTATTCTTGTCCCTTTTAGGTTTCTTTTGTGGCTGATCCCTGTTTGTCAATTTTTATTTTTTTAAAAAAATTAAGGATGGAACCTTGCGACCACGCTGGAGATAAAAAGTTGTGCGTAGGCACTGTTGTTTGATTAGACGATCTTAATTTGCATTTTGAGTCATATTTTGCTTTGCATGCTTGTGCATTCTTTTCAGGAAAATGAGGCACAGGCATACAGACAGACAAGGCTTAAAATAGAATTCATTTATATTGATGAGATAATTTGCAAAACTGAAATTAGTAGGTTTTTCATCATTTTGATCTGGCACCAGAAAACAGGTGAAGAGTTCTACATAGCTTTGAGTAATTTTAAGCACAAGAAGAAACAAACTAAGAATTCAAATGCTGACATCCTGCAAAATTGTGTTCGTTTTTTCAGAAGATTTCATTAAGGTCTATACATTCTTGATGCACTTCTGCTACATTTGGGTGAAATTTTCCTAGCTTGAAAGTCACTCGATATATCAAAGTTCACTCAGTTGAACACCTATGTGCCACATTACTGTTCACTCCGGCTCTAGTGCAAAAATCCACCACTGGATTTTGAAGCCCTGTGCACGTGACCTTAGAGACAATCTAGAACTGTCTTGCAATTTCTTGTGAAATGCAGTACTGTAGTTTAGTTGAACGGAACTGTATTAGGATACATGTTACAAGTCTGTAAAATCCTGCCTTTGTCATAGCGCGTGATCGTTACCCAACCCAGTTAACCCTTCTTTAACCGATGGAAATCCTGGAGTTTCATGCAATTTAGTCCAAGCCAGCCTCAATCCAACTTGAGGGTGGTAGCTATACTCAATTTCTGGTGAAGCCCAGGTGTGCACATTTGACATGCCCATGGGTTGGCAATGGCAGTTCTACAATTCTGATGTTAGCAGGGGAGTGTATCACAGAGCAGCATCCTCATTTGCCTCTTAAGCCTTTTTGGACTTGCTGACCGTTGTGGACCCTTCCAGCTTTTCAACTCTGTGATTCTGTTTTAGATTCTCACCCTGTGTAGAACTTTAAAAATAGACATCCCAATTCAATATCATTCTTGGACTGCCTTGTAGTATAGAAAACAATGAATTTCTCTCTACCTTAGAAGACTAACAGTACAATCCTAACTAGGGGTAGGCAACCTAAGACCTGTGGGCCAGATGTGGCCCAATCGCCTTCTCAATCCGGCCTGTGGGTGGTCCGGGAATCAGTGTGTTTTTACATGAGTAGAATGTGTGCTTTTATTTAAAATGCATCTCTGGGTTATTTGTGGGGCATAGGAATTTGTTCATTTCACCCCCAAAATATAGTCTGGCCTACCAAGTGGTCTGAGGGACAGTGAACCGGCCCACGGCTGAAAAAGGTTGTTGACCCCTGATCCTAACCATATCTACTCAGATGTACATCCTGTTGAATTAAGTGGGGGCTTACTCCCAGATAAATGGGGCTAGGATTACAGCCTTGAACTATAATCCTATCCCCCTTACTTCGGGCTAAGCATTTTAAAGCTTAATGGGACTTACTTCTGAGTAATCGCATACAGGGGTCCACTCTAGGTATACAAGCTCACTTCTCCCAAAGTTACTAATCAACAGTATCTGCTTCGACAGGGTGTGGGTGAATGGTTTTTCTTCTTTTCCTGATCCAGTAATATCTATATATATACTTGTTACTCATCACAGGCTTTCTGAGAAAAAGAGTATTTCATTAAACTTTCCTATGCAATGAACTTTCTAAAGCAGATCAAGTTGATAAATGCTGTAAGGAAAACAACAACAACCAATGGCCAGATCTCAGGGAGAGAGAAGGATAACAGAGCATATTCTCGCATATGCGAGAATAGTGGCTGCTTGCATTGATAAGTAATTATACACACACTTATATGGTTTACATAGAGATTTAGCATTACCATGGCTCCATAATTGGACACAATATTGTGTCAACATTTTCCTACTGAAATGTGTTTGTTTTGGCTTCTTTTTGCCTGTTTCTCAATCTGTATCTTAAAATAAAGCATCACATTAAATGGCTGTGAAAGCATTGATGAAGTTCAGTTTAAATATAAAATAATTTGTGCTGGTAAGAAAAAAATTAATTATCTAAACCCCATGCAGAGCTCAAAGATAAAGATAGCATGTTGTCTTGTCTTCGGGATTGCTTATTTTATACTCTACTGAACACGAAGCTCAGAAGGGGAATGCAGGAGTCAAGCTTATTTGGTCTACAATTTCCAAATCCTTGCATGGGCACATGCATGAAATGTGGGCCTCTTAGTGCTTAGAAGTTTGGAAAAATTGTTAAGTGATACGTACAGTACGGATAGCCAACACAAAGATTACAAAAATTCTTTGTAGTGGCTGAGGCTTCAAAGCCATTCAGCACAGTGTTCCACCCCCTGCCCCTATTCTGCAGATGTCTTCAGACTCTGTATCCTGTGAGACTTTCCCTGTTTTCACAAAGACATGGAGGAATAAAGAAGGGTAGCTGCAGGGAAGTACTGCATCATTATGGAGAAACTGTTCAGTAAGCAAATGAGAGAGAAACCTTTTTGAGAACTTGTCTATGCAACGTTTTCTTAAACTAAAGAAACATGCCATTTTATAATTGGCTTACTGCTTTTCTGCAGGAATTAAAGATAACTCATCATTAACGATCTATAAAAGTATTTTGTCAACTTAGATGCATGTCGTCACGGTCTGAAGGAATCTGATGCTTCAGCGTTTTTACCAGCATCAAATTCTTCTGTATAATGGAGGTGTTAATCAGAAATAAGTAAATCATAAGTACTCTTTCCCCTTTTAAAATATATCCCACAGCAACAAATGATCGTGAGAGCTGTTATTCCCCAATCAGTATACAGTTTTGATCATTGATGGCAAAGACTCTCCTCCTGGAAGAGAGGGGAGTGGTTGTGGGTGGGAGCCCGAGCTCCGCCTCTAGCATGGGGCGTTAGCCCCCTGCCTCCCACTCACCTGGCTGGCGCCCACGCCCATCGGCAGGCACCCAACCAGGTGCCTCCGATGGGCCGTGTACAGCATCCTAAATGCTGCGGCGCCAGCCCCCCCTCGGCCTCACTCTTCGTCGTCCCGTCGCGAGTAGCCACGTTCGGCCCTCCCGACATCCTTCTCATTCAATTAGGGGAGAATGACCTTGTTGACAGAAGAAGTGCGGGCTTGTCGTGGAACATAAAAAGAGATTTGGATGAGATTGCTGCCTTGTGTCCCGGAACAACGGTGTTCTGGTCCTCCTTCCTGAAGAGAATTGTTTGGCGCAGTGCGCAGAACTGTATGGCTATTGAAAAAACCAGGAAACTCTTAAATTGGGCAATAGCCCGTTGGGTGCGCTTTATGAATGGCCGAGTCATTTCTCATGACCGTATCTGGATTGGCGACCAGGCCTTGTATCGGAATGACGGGGTTCATCTCTCAGACCAGGGGAATGACATTTGGTTAGATAGCGTTATCAGCAGCATTAGGGATTGGTTACAGCTGTGAGGGTATTGGCGGCAAGCCTTTTTGGGCTCGGGTGGCGGTTAGGCATTGGAATAATGTGTTGTGGTGTCGAAGGGCTAGGTGTGGCCATCGCCTATGCCTTCAATTTTTGGGTATTCCGTTAAAGGAATCTGGCGGTCGTGTATTCTGTCCGATGCCTGTTTGGCGGGAGGCCATGGCACGACCCTCGGTGACATCAGGGGAGAGCCTATAGTTGGATTAGCATCAACAGGCTCCACCTACTGGTGAATAACCCTCCCCTTGTTTTAGACTCACCCCTCTCTGAGGGGGTGGAGGCAGCTGACGTAATCCAATGCCTAAGCCAATACCTTTTCACTTGCTGCAATCAATAAAGTTGTGGCCTTTTCTTGCCCATTCACCTTATATCACATGTCCTTGTGTATTCATTCCGCATTGCGGGGATCGGGTCCTCGAAACACAACCATGTTGACATGGTGTTTTGTATTGTTTCTAGCAGGAACGGGCGTCTGTAACAAACGTGGGGAGGGCGGATTCTCCTTTTGTACTTTTGCAGTGCAGGCTTCCTCTTCAGTCTGAATACGTCTGTTCTCGTGGGCTTGTTTTCATATGTGGACTTGCCATCCACTTCCCTTTTATATGCTGCTTAAATTGTTGTTTGCCATCGTCGCTCTCAGAACGCAGCCTTTTCAAATGTCATTTTCATTTAAGAACTGCCCGAGTCTCTCTTAACTGAAGAAGACATACAAGAAACGGAGTCCTGGGCCAAGCCTCTTGTCTACCTTTGGCAGAACAGAGCACCAAATTTCACTGCTGAAAAGGAATACAATGCAGCTGTTGCCAATTTGGAACCCTGCTGCGCCATATGCACGCTCCTCAAGCCTTACTACAAGGTAAGGAAGCTTTTCACAGTTTGAGAGGTATTTATAAACAAAAGAAACCCAAATATTTGTAGAGTGCTGCTTTGTGACAAAACTGCCAATTTTCTCTTTATCCTCTATCCTTTTTTTTTTTTTAGCAAGTAAAGGATTGAATGGTAAACGGTCCATCACTTACCTTGTCAAAATAGATACCGTGATTCCAAGGGGTAGAGTCCAACTGCCAAAAAGCAAGGAAATGGAAACGGAGCAATTTCTGCTCTCTGTGGTAGGCTTGGTAGCTTTAGCATTGGATAAGCACACACTGGATAAGCACAACAAAGATAGCAAGGGAATGGAGATTTCCATTAACTCAGATATTTGAGATGTACAAATTCTTTATACATATTTGAGGGTATGATTCGGCTCCTCTGGACTCACCCTGTGGAATTCATGCAAAGCTGGTTCCCGTATCACAGTCCCTTCCTATGCAAGCATGCAGAGAAGTGGTTAAATTGCACTATATTTATTTTTAAAGAGTACAATTTATTTCATAAAGGTCCCCTCATTGAATAATTGCATTGATTTAAGTACAGTTTTCATGGGGCAATGTCTCTTCATTTTGCTACCTCATTTTATATCCAAGGGCTCTCCTGCTCACTATGAAGGGCTGGAATGATTAATTTTGCATTTTCTTTACTTCTACCGCTTAAATTGCCATTTTCCTATGGCTTGGCTGTAGAGTGTTTGCCACTGCATTTCACTGCACTTTTGGCATGCCATATACTAGTGATAGATAAGCACATATAAGCGGCTATCCCCTCTCCCAGGATTCATGCTAAAAAAATGAGAAAAATGCTGTACTAGATCAGGCTGGTAGTGGTGACATTTTTGCCCCTCTAAAATCTTTTTCCAAATCTTGCACAATTACACTCTTGCCACGCTCAATTCCTTATAGGTGCCCAATAGAAAACTCCCTTTATGGAACTGAAGTCCCTGCCCAGCTGGTAGATGTTGCAGAATGCTCAAACTGTCTTTTCCCCGCTTTCCTCCATTCCTACCACAACATCTCAACAATACTGGAGGTGTAGTCTCCCATCCCTAGATAGTTGCTAAGCCGACAGGTGTAACACACCGTCCAGTAACCTGATGTGAAGTGCTTCTTACCTTAATCCATGATTAGCAGGAGAGGGGGAAACCAGCATCAAGAGCTTGTTGTGCAGTGTGATGAGGCAAAGGTCCAATACCTTCTCTTAACTAAGGTCTGACAAGAGCAGACACAGTTTGCTGTTGCAGAGTACAATGAGGAACAATTTCACCTTAAGTAGCAGCAGTAGTTGCAGCTCCAAAGATGAGTTTCCCAGTTTCTGGAGCTGCTGTGAGTGGAATGGTTTCCTCATCATATTAAGCCATTAGACTATGGTTTAATGTGACATGTGGACCAGGCCAGTATGTGTGTGTAAGGCCTATAAAACTGTAAAATTTAGTAATAAGAAATGAATGCAACGAAAGATTCAAATGAGTAATAAATTTAGGTTGCTTAAGCTTGACACTTAATTTTACAACTGTCAAACACTGAAATATCTGAAACACGGGACGGATATTTTAGAAGCAATGCGACTTGGTTTTATTATTATTTAAAGAAACTTACCAAGTAAAAGAAAAAGAGCAAATTTCTTCTTTTTCAAATATGTTTTTCAGGCTGACAACCCTAATGAAGAACACTATAGTTGCTCAGCAACAAAACAAAGAGAAGGTTTTGTGGCCAGAGAAAAGACAAAACCACTTATTCCAGAGATATGTTTTATTTATAGTGAGGAGAACACTGAAAACTATCCGTCCAATGGCTTTCTTGAAGAAGATGGAACAAGTCTGCTGATTTCGTGTGTGAAGTGTTGTGTACAGGTCCATGCAAGTAAATATAATTTCTTGACTTCAAATATTGAATGAGTGCTCTCACAAGCAGGGCCATCTTAAGCATATCCTCTGCAGGGATCACTCTCCTCCCACAGATGCTTGGGAAGGAAGCTGCTGCCCGCCAGCCATATGGTTGGCGGGGCGCAGCTTCGATCCTAAGCCTCTGTGGGGATCGCTCTCCTCCCGCGGAGGCTTGGGAGGCAATCTGCATGCCCGCCAGCCATATGGTTGACGGGGCACAGCTGGTGGGCGTGCAGGGAAAGGGGAGGCCTCTAGCAAAGCCCCACAGCTCTCCCACTCTCTGGGGTGCCCCTGAGAGGCGAGCACCCTGGGGCAATGCGCCAGTAAGCCCAATAGGAAAAATGGCTCTGCTCACAAGCAAATCCTGTGGTACCTTGGGTTACAGACGCTTCAGGTTACAGACTCCACAAACCCAGAAATAGTACCTCGGGTTAAGAATTTTGCTTCAGGAGGAGAACAGATATCGTGTGGTGGCGGCGCGGCAGCAGCAGGAGGACCCATTAGCTAAAGTGGTACCTCATGTTAAGAACAGTTTCACATTAAGAACAGACCTCCCAGAACGAATTAAGTTCTTAACCCGAGGTACCACTGTAGCCCTGCTCAGTTTCTGAGTACAATTGGGGCGAGTTGCACAACCCACCTTGAGCTGGCTACCTACCTCAGTTCTGCTCTCACAGGTTGTGACTGCCTGCCTCACTCCCTGTGTCTGGCTGACAGGCAACCTCACGCACACGAGGCTGTTGGTCAGCTGGGACTGGTGCTTCTCCTACTGGAATGACAGACAGCCTCATGCAGCTGGAGAAGCATGGAGGCAGTCATGCGCCCTATGCAAGCAGCATTGGGGTGGGCAGCCAGTTCATGGTAGGCTGTGCAACACGCTCCAAGTCTGCTCAAAGAAACTGAGGAGGACCTCCTCAGTTGTGCATAGGGGCCACCAATGTGGTACCCATGGGCGCCACTGTGACCAATAGCACCTGCGAAAGGTCTCAAGAGATATTGCCTTAAAAATCCAATGCATAAGAGATATCTCTGTTTGCACTGACTCAGCCTCTCCTTCAACATGTCCACATTTTATTGGGTGCCAACCCTCCCATCTGTTTTGAACTCAGATCTCTGTGAGCAAGCATGGCAGCTGTTCCGGTGCCTTTGATGTAGTGGCTGATGGGGGCATGGCTGCACCAATTTGTGGTCATCTCTCTCTTTTTTTAAGATGGGACAGGTATTATACCACTCGCCCACAGCAGCCATTTTGTGTTTTCCCATGACTGCTATTATATGCCTGGCAGGGGTTGGTTAGGTTGACCCCCACCAAGGGTGCAGACCCAGGGCGATGCAAAAATCCCACCTGCCCTGCAGGGGGAGGACCCTCCCTAGTTGGTTGGCAGCAAGGGAAGCGGGCACCGATTAGAAGGGTGCAAGGGATGCGGGGCACCAATACGACTCCTTACCAAGGGCACAAGGGAGCCTCTGATGACTGGTGCCCACAGTACTTCCTCAAAATTCCAAATATGCCCACTGACCCCAAAATGATAGCAACCCCTTTCCTGGTTTTTTGATATAGGACACCTACACAATCAAACTCCTAAGCTACTTTCGCAAATAAGGGTATATAGACTGCAGTGTTAATCACCATGCTACACCAGCTCTCTGTTATGGAGAGTTATTGCTGCAGTGTTCAGATTGTATTTTACCACCTGCAAAAGTAATTGGGATTTCAAAGCTGACAGTCTAGCATAGTGAAAAGATTGTTAAAGATAACAATGCTGGTTTTAGGGATGAGAACTGTTGGTAGCATAGGTGACCTTCCAGCAGCCAGTATAACTGCTAAGCTTACTGTTGGAGAAATGCTCGTTCTTTACTTTTTTTAATCACACACTATGCAAATGTAGTATCTTTTTTTAATAGCTAGCTTGTCTGTTTAGCTAGAAAGATAATGAAGTACAGAATCTGTTTATCATCCTAGCTCTCTCTTATTATAGGTTGCTATGGTGTTCCTTCCCATGAAATCAATGATAGATGGCTATGTTCTCGATGCAAAAGAGGAGCCTGGACAGCAGTAAGTTATGCATTTTATTTAGTTGTTGTTCACAGTGAAGACCCAACTAAACCTCCTGATCGTATGTGAAAGGGACATAAAAGCGCATTCTGCCAACCATAGCTGAGAGAAGAATTCTTATTTCTGTTTTAACTATCTTGTTATGGTTCAAATTGAATTTCTGATTGCATACTAGTACGTGGTAAATAAGATATGTGGTATAATGTCAACGGAGAAAACAACCGACAATTAATCTCTTATCTGGAGAGAAAAAATCAGAAACGAATCATTTGCCCCTTCAGGCTTTTCTATCAGCTGTAATGCTGCCACTGCCAGACGGACAAAGAAGGTGCTGAACTTCTTGGTACTTCTCATCTGCCTTGGCTTGGGACATCATTGTCTAATTGCTGAACACTGCACAACTTCTTTCAATACTGCAGAGGCATGTCACCCTGAAAAGTGGGACTACTGATAATATCTGCCCTTGTCTCTATGGGAGTTGATTGAAATTTTAGGGACGATCAGCATGCATGTACTTGATCAGAGTGGATGCCAAATGTACAGATACCAGAGTACCAGACTAAAAACTATTGCTGTGTTAACGCTGCAGGTAATCTACTCTTGCAGGGCCATTCATCCAACAAACTTCCTAGACATCATCTCGCCCTTTTCTGACCACAGTGTGCCATGCAGACAGATATTGTTGGCAGCAGAGGGCTGATCAAGTACATGCATGCTGAGGCAATGGCTTCTTAATAGAAGCTTTCAATGAATAGCTTCTTAATTGTCCCTTAAACAGCCTTTTCTAATTGTCACGGTGTCAGGCTGTGCAGATATTAACAGTTTAAAATGCAGCCAGGTCATTTGTTTTCTCAATTTGGATGGAAGCTGGGAGAAATGCAATATTTCATAAGAAATTACAGGACAGATGTGGAATGTGGTTATCATGTGTACACTACTTCCCAAACCAGTGGTGGGAGCAGACTGGATATAGAGTGAACCATGTTTTCAACCAACCTCAGTTTCTCTTCCTGCAGCGAATGGGAAAGCTTTAATACTTGCTGATTTCATCACATTTTTTTCTTTTATTTTTTAATGGAAATGAGTGCCGATCTGCTATTGTTTTAAAAAATGTCGTGAAACCACTAATTGAAGCCTTCCTGTCACAGGAACAAAAACGGACTGGGCAGCAATTGAGGTTTCAATCCTAAACTTACTTTCTAGTTGTGGGGTAAGAGAGTTGAAAAAGGTTTCACATCTAGCAGCCAATGGTTTCAGATAGTACATGGGTAGACGAGTCTACAAAGCCTGGGGCACATATTTTCACAGCCCCTCCAGTGGCTATGGTGGCTCATTTACCAGAAGTAATGTATTTAATGTTAACTCTGGAAGCCTATATTCAATTTTGACCAAACTAAGCCTCCTAGAGCAAAATACGCATCATATACATGGTGCCTGGGAGTGGCCGCTGAGACCACATAACACCGGTCTTGAAAGACCTACATTGGCTCCCAGTACGTTGGTGCTGACCTTTAAAGCCCCAAATGGCCTCGGCCCAGTATACATAAAGGAGCATCTCCACCCCCATCGTTCTGCCCGGATACTGAGGTCTGGCTCCGAGGGCCTTCTGGCGGTTCCCTCACTGCGAGAAGCCAAGTTACAGGGAGCCAGGCAGAGGGCCTTCTCGGTAGTGGCACCCGCCCTGTGGAATGCCCTCCCACCAGATGCCAAAGAAATAAACAACTATCTGACTTTTAGAAGATATCTTAAGGCAGCCCTGTTTAGGGAAACTTTTAATATCTTATGAATTATTGTATTTTAATATTTTGCTGGAAGCTGCCCAGAGTGGCTGGGGAAACCCAGCCAGATGGGTGGAGCATAAATAATAAATTATATTATTATATACATCATATACCATTGATAGATTATCTATCAAACTATCATCCATACATGCAGTCGCAGGCAGGATTTGAAATATAAGCAGTGGATCGTTATATGATGATGAGTTTTGGAATATCTTTGGAGGCTTAATAGAAAGAGAGTGTGTGTGTGTGTGTGTGTGTGTGTGTGTGTGTGTAGTTGTGGGGAATGGCAAGTTTGACCTTTGTGTGATTACCTTGGAAGTGGTACAACTGATTATCTGTTTCATATTTAATTGATTGAAGTATGTTGCTTATTTATATTGTAAGTCTTATTCAGACTCTGGTGCATGGCAATAAATGAATGAACAGGTGGTCCAGCTACCACAAAACCCTGTAAAACCACTTGACTGTAGGCATAAATAGGATGAGTGTGCACACTGCAGTCAACATTACTTCTACCATACCACTTTCTGCTCTCGGGGGAGATAGACACTCTAATCTATCTCCAGCCTAAATGAGACATCTCCCTATTCCCTGAGGGGCTGGTGGCACAAAACTCTCCCTGTGTATATGTTGAGTGAATTTTTTTCTTAACTTGATAAATTATAAGAGAATCAATCATGTGCAAGGCTGTGTATGTACAATTTTCAGAGATTCTTTGCAAGATGGGCGCTGAATTCAGCTTTCATTCGGCTTGTAACAAACAAATTCCTAGCCCCAAGAGTAATGAGAAGATATGGGCAATTCCTGATGACAGCTCAGAAATTAAAGGGTTTGCTCTTTTTCCAGTTCTAGCATTTCCTATTTTGTAATAATAATCTTGTGTTCCCATGGCTTTCCTTAAATGGCACTCCCCACCCCAAACTCTCTAAGACTTTTTGATGGCCATCCTGTCTCCTACTTGAACTGGGAACATTGCCAAACATCAGCAAGAAAGTCTATAGAGAAGCTTTTCAAAATACATACATTTTGACTTCCTCTCACCTCCCATCAGCCTCACCATACTAGAATATATTGTTACTTCTCACACCAGTGTAATTTCTTACTATTTTATGAAAAATAAAAGAGAAAGGTAGAGTGAACAGGTTGGAGGAGTAGATAATGTAAGCAGGTTTCTCCCCCTATTTTTTTAGATTCCTTGTAGCTGTTGGTAAAGAACAAAACAGCAGGTAGCAGATATGGTGTGCATATTAACCAAGGCAGGGAAATAAAATGGCAAATACCAATTTGGAACAGATTATTACAAAAATAGTGATTCACATATATAGGTAGTTCAGTGTTTGCTCGGTGAATTGCTATTAAAATGTGCCCAGAGTCAATTTCTGTATCTGTAATATGTTTTCATTTTAGCAGGGTAGGCATTCTTTCCAGGCAAAATTGAATTTTTCCTCTCTTGCTGGCCACCAGAGAAAATTGTGAAAGGTTCCTTATCAGGCAATCAGAAGTTCCAGGACTTATAAAACTGCTTTTGTTGCAGCTCCTGCAGAGTTGCGGGTGGGTGTAAAGGGGAGGGGGAATGGCAAAAGTCAATCCCGGGAACTGACAGGGTGTCTTTTAAGTCAGAACGTAATTATCAGTTCAGTTCAGTGAACAGAGTTAGACAGCACGGCTGCTTTAGCAACAAGTTTGCCGGTTTTCTTTCAGCGAAGGGACAGGTGTGGCGCCTCAGCATTAGCAACGACAATTAAAATGAGTTTCATTGTGTGGGCAGTCTGAATATGTTCAGCGTGGTAAGGGCTGTCATGAACCCAGATCTGTCTTGACTAACAAGGTTTTTGCCTTCTCAAATTAGAACGCAGTCCTGGAGAGATGTTGTATACTTAATATGGCCTCAGGGTCACTTGTTTTAATGCTGGAACCTCAAATTCAAGGATGATCCATGCTACTATCTATTGTTTGTTAGTCTGGTTCCGGAACCAATAAACATGGGGACCCTTTCTCATTAGTGCATGGTTGCCTACCCTCTCCAGCTTACTTGTGGAAGCCATTGTTTCGTGCTTCTTCCACTCCATGTCCAAGCAGTGAGAAGTTCTGGAGGGCAGCAGTACCAGTGTGTGGCTTCCTTTGGAGAGAGAGATAATTGGAAACGTACCTTGTGCTCCATTGTTTGTTAATATATAAATATGCGGTACACATGTGTAAATTTAGCAAAAGAAAAAATATATGTTTTTCTTCTTAGTTAAATTTGTATTATATATATATATATATATATATAATATATATGTGGAACATAGGTTGAGGCAAGCAGCACAATGTTCCTACCAGGCCTACCACCTCTCATCAGATCCCTAGAGAGAGAGACATCATATGCCCCAAGGTGCTTTCAGCAAATATTATGCCTCTCTCTTACAGTGTCAAAAGAGCTTCTGTTGCTTCTCTCTCTCCCTCTCTCTCCCTCTCCCTCTCTCTCTCTCTCACACACACACACAATGCACCTATCTACGTTCATACACTCCTCTCTTAGGTGAGGTGTCTCAAAACCCTCAATGTTCAGATTTGAAAGATCTCCAGTTATCTCCAAAGGATAACCTGCCATTGAGAAAACATCAATCGCTCATCCTTTCCCACTAGCTAGTCATCTGTTTAACAAAAGAAAGTTGTCCAAGTACTGTGACCCTGTATCTCTTTAGTTTATAATACCACAATGGCACAGGCTATTTCAGGCATTACACATATGAATCATCATTGTGAAGAAAGGGTAACCTTAATATTTGTAAAGCTAAAGGGACCCCTGACTATTAGGTCCAGTCGTGGCCGACTCTGGGGTTGCGGCGCTCATCTCGCTTTATTGGCTGAGGGAGCCGGCGTACAGCTTCCAGGTCATGTGGCCAGCATGACTAAGCCGCTTCTGGCAGACCACAGCAGCGCACGGAAACGCCGTTTACCTTCCCGCCAGAGTGGTACCTATTTATGTACTTGCACTTTGATGTGCTTTCGAACTGCTAGGTTGGCAGGAGCAGGGACTGAACAACGGGAGCTCACCCTATCGCGGGGATTTGAACCACCGACCTTCTGATCGGCAAGTCCTAGGCTCTGTGATTTAACCCACAGCGCCACCCTTAATATTTGTAGCCGAGACATATTTAAGGGGAAGAACAAGGAAGTAAAAAATCCACAAACTAACAGCAACAAAAAGCACAGATGTTGGAAACAGGTAGA